GCGCCGCGCTCCACTCGCCAGGGAGGAGGGTCCAGCGCAGATCCAAGAAATCCGCGCGGAGCGCCAGTTTGTGTTGATGGAGCTTTTTCTTTTTACACTCGAGGAGCCTTTCGGGTCATCTTCCGAGCAAGTGCGCGCACGAGGCCGAAATATGCACGGGGAGCGGACGTCCGAGCGATGGCGAGCCCCCCGTTGTTGAGGGCTCAACGGCTTCTGCGGTTTCTCCACTCGCGCGCGAGCTGCCACGATTTGCCCGTTGTTTCCCCAGAGATCTGTGGGTTCGCCTCGATTGGTGTGGATTCGCACGCACTTGCGGTCATGATCTTTGGCTTTTGCGCCGCCGGTGCTGGCCCACCATGATTCGGCACGTCACGCTATCCAGGTCCCAGCCTGCAGGCGTCAACGTTGCGAGCCTTTCCCGACCTCATGCTCCGCGGAGCTGAGCGACACGCCATCCGCTCGCAGGGTATAGCCCAGCGTGTCGCCGGGGCTGCCGCCGCGACATGCTAATCTAAAGTTCCCGACCATATTCGGATGTATTTGGATTTGCCTAGATTTATCTGGCATGATCCCCGCAAGTTGATAGGAGGGAAGGCGTCAAGCCCTCAGGGACCCCCTCCCTGGGGACGGGGACGTGGCTCGAGTGTGTTTGGGCTGCAGGTGCGGAGAGCGAAGAGCGCCCGATGGAGTTCAGAGGAAGAGAAGGTTCCGATGACGGCTACCCTTCTTCGCTGGGATCTTTTTGTTGGCCTCATGGGAGTCGTTCGTCCAACCAGATTGAGCAGCAGTGGAGTATCAATCCCAGGGGGCCAGGTGAAAGTGGGAGGTGGGGGCATTCGCCACGCGCCGCGTCTCGAAGAAGAACGATCGGAGATCTGCGCGGATCTCTTGAGTCGGCGCTGGAACCCCAGGCGGCGCCTCCAGCGCATGCCTCTGGCGCGCTCCGAGAGGCAAGGGGAGTGAGTCCGGATGGGTCCAGCGCCAATCCAAGACACGCGTGTGGACCTCCACATCCATATGCTCATGCACGTGTTTGTTCTTCTGGTCCTGGAGGGTTGTCCGTCGTGCTCGGCATCCCGTGGCCCTGCCCGGGCCCTGGGACCGTAACAAACAACGACTCGGGATGAGGGGCTGGTCTTGGGACCAGGTCCAGGACCTCTGTGGGCCCCGGAAACGGCAGGGCCGTTTTTTCACTGTTTCCGAAGAGATGTCCCTTGAAAATGGAAACGGCAAAAAAACGGCGACCGGAAACGGCAACAAAAACGGCTCCAGCATTGGAACAGGGGTCATGCGAAGTGGATCCGCGGCTAGGGCGTCGGCGGGTCGGGATGGCCCTCCCCCCCGGCCTGCCTCGTTAAACATCCCCATCCCCGCGCGCCTCGTCCGGCAAACGGGTGTGAACCAGAGCGCCAGATCTTGCACCAGACATGATCGCGTCGTACAAAAATCAGGACGGGAGGTCTTTGGCTATTTTCGGCCCCGGGGGCCCTCGCTGGGCCTCGGGACCGTCAAAAAATTATTCTGGACGAATACTGGTCCCTGGGAAAGGGTCGGGACTTCCAGGGACGCCGTCTTGAGAAAATGAGAACGTTGCATGTCAAGGGCAGGATCCTGCAGGGCCATGGATGCACTTACCCGGACTTGCGTGCAGGATCTTGCAGGACCCTGCAGCGTGGGCCTTCGGTGGAGCTCTCTATGGGCCACGAAACATTTGAGGGGTGCAGCGAAACAGAGACATGCGAAGAGCTGAGGCGAGGAGGGGGGGAGGGAGGAGGGGGAGGAGGAGATGAGAGGAGAGGAGAGGAGGAGGAACGCGGGGTGCTGTCTCTCCCAAACGAGGATCCAACATTTCAGAATGGTTGGGAAAAAAGCCTCTTCGTCTAGCTCGAAGTTGTGAGGATCTTCCACAGGACTTGTTTTTCCTCTCCCGATGGAGATTGGTTCACCTGTCAATCTCACATGTCGGTCCGGGGGCGCCTAGATTTCAATGTTAGCATTGGCTTCTGGGGCTCAGGCTGGAAAAACGCGCCGGTGGTGGCCGAAGTCGGCCAGAGTCAGCCAGAGCCGCCAGGCCAGCCAGACGACCCTGACTTTCTTCACCCAGCAGCATCGCAATCACAGCGTTACCTTTCTGTTCTCGGTCGGGTTGCCGCCGATGTCATATAATCCATGCGGAAAGCAAGCTGATCATTCAGTAAGGCCCTCCCTTATGATCCTATCTATCATCAGGGGAGGAGGGGAAGTAGGAGGAGGAGGAGGAGGTGGCTGAGGCAGTCTTGGTTTGGTTTCGAGGACGTCGGCGGCGCATCACTGGCCGCTCCCTAATCAGGAGTGCGACGCACGCGTGGGCGAAGGAGTTGCTTGGCGACTGGTTCACTCCCTGGGCGTCCTGGGTGCCTGTCGATTGGGTGTCCCGGGTCTCGGGGGGTCTGTTGAAGGCACCTTGCGCGTGGTAGAGGGAAATATTTGCTCGGAGGCCTTACGGCCAGTGCCGCCGACCCTGAGAACGACGAAGTTGAAAACGAGGGTGGGGGCATGGGGAGGAGGATGAGTGGGAGGTGGAGGAAGGGTGGAGGAGGTGGATGAGGGAGGAGGAGGGGGGAGTCTCGGGGGGTCTGTCGAAGGCACCTTGCGCGTGGTAGGGGGAAATATTTGTGCGGAGGCCAGTGGTCCTCGGTGTTCTAGTCCTCAGGAGGTACGCTGAGACTTCGCACGCTCTAAGAAGCCCTGTCGGTGACACTCTCGGTTCCCCGTCAACCGCCGAGGGATCTCTTAGGGGCTTCGGGCCTCTCGTTGGGGCCTCTTGTGGTGCTCTGGGTGGCCGTCTGGCGTCATGCTGAGAGCGTTCAGGCGAATAATCAAAGGAACGGCTTTCAAGGCTTTTCCCGTGCTTGAATATTCTGGCTGGTTCAGAGGTTCCCCCGCGCGGGAGCTTGAGGAGGAGGATGGAGGAGCATGCCAGCAACGTATCCTTCATTGGGGTCGCCTGCAGGCGTCTTCGATGTGTCGAGGATGGGGATGAGGTTTTTCATCAGAAGGATGTGCCCCCCCCGGGGGAGATGAGGAGGAGGAGAACCAGTGAAACCCAAGACCCATCAACGATATATGTAACGTGGGAACTAGAACTGGCGCAGAAAACTGGACTGCCTCCGCCTCGCGGCCTGTTGGCCCCACAGGGGGCCTGCGGACATCGGTTTCGGTTAGAAGAACCTCGTGATTGTTGTGCTTGATCCATTCGCAGATAGGAAAAGTAGGAAGCGTGGTTCGTGATGTCCTACACTTTGGTTCCCAACATCACCGTTAAGCAACATCGCCGTGAGCCCGGCCTTGGTCGTTCTCCTCCTCTCACTCACCTCCTCCGTCCATCGCGTCATCATGCTCCTCTTGGGGCGCTGCCCCGTGGGCCGACAGTTCTCAGGACGTGCGTTGGTGTTTGCTCGTTCGGCCTGTGTCTGCCATCGGTACACCGCCTGCGTCGTATTGAAGGGCTTTGGTGGACCAACACACGTTGGTTCGGTAGCAAATCATGGGAGCCTTGTTTACCCTCGCAATTCCGTCTTTCGCGTCGACTAGCGTTGATTAGTGTTTGGGAGTCGATGAGATATCGCCGATTTAGCGTCAACTGACGTCGATTAGCGTCGATTCGACAAGAGGGTATGGGAGGCTCCCAAGATTTGCCACCGAACGTTGTCGCTGACGCACGTTCTGATGATCGTCGAGTGTGCTTCCTCTCCCCTGGCTCGAGGCTGCCGCAGGGTCCGCCGTGGGCGATCTGGGGAGCGGCCACAGCAAAAGCAGGGCGCCCACCACGGTGGGCCTGCTGCCCACCACCACCACCACCAGAAGTTGGAGCAGGGGAAGGAGATGGAGGAACCCATTCCCGTCCTACTGATGGCGGCGGCGGCGGACAACAAGCCCACCACACCCACCGAACCCGGGCACGCCCCTCGGAGTCAGGCAGGCCCCCCCCGAGAGCGCCCGGAGCACGACGGCCGGCACAGGGGAGAGGCACGACGCCGCTCCTGCACGGGGGGAGGCGCTCGTGCAGGAGTGCGCCCCCCAGGAAGCTCGAGGCGCTCGAGGCTGCCGCAGGGCCCGCCGCCGGCGATCTGGGGAGTGGCCAGAGGGGCAGAGGGAGGAGGGAGGAGGGAGGAGGGAGGAGGCAGGAGGCAGGAGGCAGGAGGGAGGAGGGAGGAGGAGGGAGGAGGGAGGAGGCAGGAGGGAGGAGGGAGGGAGGGAGGAGGAGGGAGGAGGGAGGAGGGATAGCCACAGCCGAAGCCGGGCGCTCACCGCCGAGCCCCGGCACACGCGCCCCTCGGAGTCGGCCGCAGGCCCTCGCCGAGGGCGCGATCGGAGCGCAGCCGGCACGGGAGATCAGAGCCCCGAATCATCAGGGGTAACTCGGGTCAGGGCTAACTCGGGTTCGTTTTTCGGGAATCCGAACCCGAGTTACCCCAGACCCGAGTTACCCCGGATATTTCGGGCGTCCAGAGCCCCACATCATCAGGGGTAACTCGGGTCAGGGCTAACTCGGGTTCCTTTTTCGGGAATCCAAGCCCGAGTTACCCCGGACCCGAGTTACCCCGGATAACTCGGGCGCCCAAGGAGAGGAGGACGACGCCCACCCCCTGGGGCGCCCAGTTCCGCCTCTCCTGCTGCCGCACGCCTGCGCGGGGGGCGCTCGTCCAGGAAGTCGGGGCCCTGAAGAAGGAACCCTTTTCGTTGGGGAGGGGCTCGGTGTTCCTGAATTGCTCCACACCCTGCCCAGTGTTTTCCTGAAATTGTTGGTTGCAAGTCGAAGGTTAAGTTATGAAAAAAAGGGGCTGCGTTCCTTATTTGGGGCTCCTTAGGTCAGCGCCCCGACTGTATGCCCCCAGACAGGATCGCGTCGTAACAAAAAAAAGTAGAGCGGGAGGTGAGTGGCAATGTTCGGCCCCGGGGGGCCCTCGCGGGGCCTCGGGACCGTCAATTTCGGAAACTGGAGCAGATACATTACCAGTGGCGGGCTGTGTTTCAATCGCAGGGCTTTCGGAGGGTCGGGGGCGACGTCGGGATGGTGTGGTGTATGTTTGTTTTCCCGCTTCCCTGTATGTTTGTTTCCTCGCTTCCAGTGCGGGGTTGGGAAAAGCGTCGGTGTATAGAGTTCTGGTCCTTACAAAAAAACGACTCAGGACGAAGAGCTGGTCCCGGGGAAAGGGGAGGGACTTCCAGGGACGCCGTCCTGAAAAAAAACCGAACGTCGCCTGGCTGGGCACAGGAGGCTTCAGACCGCGGACGATTCCGCATCTGATGACGGCGGCGGTGATACCGTCACTTGAGGAAAAGAGATCATCCTAGATATTGGTGACAAGACGACAGAGCTCGCCCCCCTTACCCCTGCATGTCAAGGTTGACGAGGAAGTCGTCCCCCCACGCAGAAGTGTGCTTTTGTTTCGCAACACGTTCCCTTTCCCCCTCTTCCGCTTCTCCCCTCTTCCTCTTTTTTCCTTCCCTTTCGTGATCATCGTCCTCTTTTTCGAGCCCAGGGTTTATCCATAACCACCGCCTGCGTCGATCTGCAGGGACCTCGGCAGGCGGTGGATACGACATTTGTAGTCGGACCCCAGGGTTGCCAATCTATCCTTCTCGCCGTCCCAATGGGGTCCCAGGACATCGTTCGCCCATGCGGTGGACGTGGATAAGTCCCCGCCTCGCATCTTTTCTCCTCTTTTCCTCCTCCTCCTCCTCCTCCTCCTGTTCCTCCCCCTTCGCCTCCCCCTCCTCCTCTGTGCCCTCCTCTTCCGCTGAGGGGATGGCGTGCCGCCGTGCGACCACACCCTCCGCCTCCTCATCCAGACGTGCACGGCTCGCCGGCTGCACAAGGAGGCGCAGATGTTCATCGACGATTTCTCGAGCTCGAAATCCCTGGAGAGGAACGGGCCCTTCTCCGAGGACGCCCCCCCTTCCTCCGCACCCCACGGACACCGACGCCGGATCACGAGCCCAGGCATGCGACGTCCATATTTAAGCAGGGCGGCGTCCCTGGAAGCCCCGACCCTTTCCCCGGGACCAGGTTTTGACGCTCCCGTGGCGCTCCCGTGGCCCGGCGAGGGCCCCCTGCGGCCGAAAATAGCTAAAAACCTCCCGCTATGATTTCTTAAACGACGCGATCACGTCTGGGGACGCCACATCACGAGCACCGAGCACCTCCCCATCGACCACGACCCCTGAGAGCTCCGACCCACCCGCGCTCACCTTACTGGCCCCACCCTGGGGCGGACACCGGCGCGCTCGTCTCGTCTCGTCGCCCTTATTCCCTCGCAGGCAATTTCTCCTCCTCCCCCCCCTCCCTCCTCGTCCTCCTTTTCCCTCCTCCTCCTCCTCCTCGTCTTCCTCGTCTTCCTCCTCCTCCTCCTCCTCCTCCTCCTCCTCCTCCTCCTCCTCCTCCTCTTCCCCCCAAAGAGTTATAGGCCGCTCGGAGAAGCGGAGTCGAGGAATGACGCTCCCCCACGGGCTCAGAAAGGCATACATCGGGTTGGGAGGATGGGGTTGAGAGAAATGATCCGCTCATCCGTATTAGCGCGTATGTTGAATGGGCTTATGACAAAGTCGTGCACTGTACCTTCCCAACCCCGTCCTCCCAATACGATAACCGTCTTTCTCACTGGCGTGTACCCCCGAGTTTGGCCCCATTTTTTCCTTTTGCATTCGAAAGCCCCGCAAAGTCAGAGGCTGGGGTTGCCAAGCCCCCATATCCTCCTCGTCCTCTTCATCTGCCTTCTTGGTCGGTTGCTGCATCGTGCATCGTGGAGCCCCCTTCTCATCGATTAGTTCGGTACCCTCGTACATCTGTCTTTAGTGCCGATGCGCGTCGATTAGTGTCTTTGGAGTGGACGAGATAGCGCCGATCTAGCGTCAGCTAGCGTCGACTAGCGTCGATTTAGTGTCGGTTAGCGACGATTCAGCGTCGGTTGGCGCCGATTCGCAAGATCCGGCAAGATGGTACGGGAGGCTCCCATGAGTTGCCACCGACTCGTCCTCTTCCTCAATGTGTTCTTGGTCGGTTGCGGCATCGCGGGGCCCCCTTCGCGTCAATTGGGAAGCAGGCGCTTTCCAAGGACCAATCGATCCCTGACCCCCGACGTCGTGATTTTTTGACGACGTCGACCCCCAGAGGTCTCGACCCCTTCCCCGGGACCGGTTTTTCCTCCGATCTCACGGCCCGGGAAGGGACCCCGGAGGCCGAAAATAGATTGTGCCCCCCATCAGAGCCCTTCAACGAGCAGAAGCGAGAAGCCTCACATCTCACAGCCTCGGGTGCTCGAAGCGTCACTTCCCGGGGACGGGATTTTCATCCTGGGCCTTTTTTTGACGGTCCCGAGGCCCGGGGAGGGCGCCCTGGATGTCGAAAAAAGTGACCCTCCCGTTGTGTTTTTTTCACGTCGCGAGGTGTTCTGGGAGGGGGGGAGTCTGGCGAGGCCGTTCACGGGCGTTGTCGCGAGTCAGAATCGGCGGCGAGCGAGGGGGGAAAGTAAGAAGGAGAAGGCCGTCTCAGAAGGCGGCGGGACTTCTTAGAAGCCCTCGCGCCTTCTGACAGGTTTTCTGTCTCTTCGGGGCTGGCTCAGAACACTTGTCGGAAGGCCCGGGGACTTCCGAGCTTTCTGAGAAGGCCCGCCCCTTCTCACTTCTCCCCCCCAGCCTCACCGCCGAAATAAGAAACGGGCTCGACCCAGACCCCCCACTTCGTGTTTTTTTTTTTTGCTACGTCGACTCCCAGGGAACTCGACCTCTTCCCTGGGACCCGTGTTTCCTCCCGAGTCGTTTTTGGACGGTTCCGAGGCTCGGTGAGGGTTCCCCGAGGCCAAAAATAGCGAAACATTTCCCGTCATGTTTTTGTTCGCATCGTGAGGAGGTTTGGGTTCTGCCCCCTTCAGAGCCCCTCCACGAGCAGACACGAGAAGCCTCACCTCTTACAGCCTTCGGTGCTGGAAGCGTCACCTCTCCTCCTCCTCCTCCTCCTCCTCCTCCTCCTCCTCCTCCTCCTCCTCCTCTTCCGGTTGCGGCACACGGCGACCGACGTCTTGTACATTTGCTACTGTTGGGCTCCGGTGTTCTCCTGTTTGTCATTCATGGCCTTGTTGGCAGGTCCTCAATGCATCATTGTTTATATCGTATCGCCTTTTTCGCTTGCGGTAGTATGGTCTTGTTTATTGCGCTCGAGGGATACCCTGTGGGTCTGTTGCTCGTAGTGGCAGCAACACATTCACCGCGTATTACACTTCCTCGTTTTATTTTGGTTGTTTGCTTGTCACTTGCTTGAGTCCCGCCGTAATGCCAACGCACTGGCTCCGGTGATTGCCACAGCACTACGATTTTGTATGGGTGCCATTTGTTTTCTCGCATTCGACGGGCGGGGGGCCATTTCCGCTGGGCTGATTTTCGCGGTTTTCGGTGGGCGTGCGGTGCTGGGCGTGTGTGGTCTAATAATACCGTATTGTGTTGGATTCATAAGGGGGTCAACCTCTGCAGGCGGCGTCCATTTCCATTCCTCGGGTGTCATCTCGGCGCGCAGGAGCGAGGGCCTCGAGGTGTGTTCACGTGAGTCGGGCAGGCAGCCGTCTTCCTCTGATGTGACTGTGCTTGCGTAAGGGATCACATTCCTCCTCCTCCTCCTCCTCCTCCTCGTGATTGCCTCCTCCTCCTCCTCCTCCTCCTCCTCCTCCTCCTCCTCCTCCTCCTCGTGAGTGTCCATTCCCAGTCCTCCTCCTCCTCCTCCTCCTCCTCGCAGGTGCTCCCTCGGGCTCCGCCTGCTCTCGCTCGGTCCGCGCGGGGGGGGGGTCGGGGCACCTGCCGCCTCCGAGGGGCTCCGCGGCAGGCACCCGCCCTCTGGGCGCCCTGCCCCCCCCCCCCCCCCGCTGAGATCCTCATGGCTAGTTCTGGTAGTTGTGGGGAAGTTCTGGTAGATCTTTCTCCTCTTCCTCCTCCTCTTCCTCCTCCTCCTCCTCCCTCCCCCTCCTCCCCCTCCTCCTCCTCCTTCTCTTCCTCCTCCTCCTCCTTCCTCCTCCCCCTCCTTTCTGGATGTGCACTGGATCTTCCAGATCTGATCTTGATCTTCCAGATCTTAGGGTAGTTGGAGACAGGGGGAGGTTCGGGGCTAGAGTGGTATAAGGTAGGGGGAAATTAGTTTCCAGAGAAGAAGCAGCCAAAATAATATGAAAGGCTATCTTCCACAACTTCAATCCAACTTCCACAACTGCCACAACTTCAGCAGAACTAGTTATGGGCATCTCAGCGTCGCACACAGCACGGGGGCCGGCGTGCCCCGGGCGGCGCTCCGGGAGGGCCCGGCGCCGGGCCACGCGACCGCTACATGGCCAGGGGAGCCTTCGGTGCGGCGGCGAGCCGGGGGGAGCGATCGCTCTGGCCAGGGGAGCGATCGCTGTGGCCAGGGGAGCCAGACCCCCACGAGCAAGGAGCGAGATCTCGGCGCGGGAGGCTTTGTGCGCCATGTTCGGCACTCGGGGGCCGCCGACAAAAAGACCGCCGAGGGGCCGCCCGGAGGACCGCGGAAGGAGAGCGCCCGAAGGCCGCGGCGCGGCAGGGCCCGGGCGCGGCGCGGCAGGGCGTGCGTTCGCGGGCGGTCTTCGGCGGTCGCTTGGCGGTCTTGGGAGGCGAAGAGTTGGGGAGGACGGTCAATGGAGAGGAGGCGTGTTGCCAAACAGTTCCCAGAGGTCTAAAACATGTGTTGAAACATGAACTCAGCATGTTTAGAACATCGTGCTCACAGCAGGTTTAGGACATGTTTCCGGCATGTGAAACACATTCTAAGTTCGATGATAGGACTGTTAGGGTGTCCATTGTCGTGGCATCCACAAGCCAAGATGCGTGAAGAGGGGGCCGTGACCCAGACATGATGGCGCCGTACAGAAATCAGGACGGGAAGTTTTTAGCCATTTTCAGCCCCGGGGGGCCCTCGCTGGGCCTCGGGACTGTCAAAAAACGACTCGGGACGAAAAACCGGTCCTGGAGAAAGGGTCGGGACCTCCAGGGACGCCATCCTGAAACAATCGGGACGTCGCACGTCTGGGGATCGAGCGCGTGACTTTCAATTCGGCGGCGAGCCTTGGGGGGACACCCAGACCCCTTCGAGCAAGGAGCAAGATCATCACGCTTCTGCGTCTCAATGATGGCAGGAGCTGAAATCGAAGGATCAGGAAGCCGCGTCGCTACGAACGCGTGGCTGCCACAAGCCAGGTATCCCTGTGATAATTTTTCTGTCGCACATCCTCAACCGGAGGTTTTTCGCAGTCTGCGGTGTCCGGGGGCCCTCAGCGGGCCTCGCGAGACTGTCAGAAGCGGATTCGGGGCGAGGCCCTGGTCCTGCAGGGAAGGGGTCGGGACCTCTGCGGGTCGAGGTGGGGAAGAAGTCACGACGTCGGGGTGGAGTCGCGCGCCGCGCATTGCCTACTGGGTCAGACTATACACCTTAGGCGATGCTTAAGAAAACCTACGTTTTCGGCCAGAGTCTCGATTATTCTTAACGTTTCAATGTAAATCCTAAGATTTTAATGGAAATTTTGGGTCTTTATTCAAGTTCTGAGACTATGAATTTCTTAACCCATGATTTCTTAAGCATTTCGCAGGGTGTAGTTCTGTCTTTTTTCCTCACACGCCGGTCGCTGGAAGTGTGTATTTCTGGGCTCCCAGGTTCCAAGCTGCTTCGAGCAGCCTCCTGCGTCAGGAATCGAGGTGTTTTTGCTGTGCTCTGTCATTGCGAAGGCCTTGCGGCAGGTGCCGCCGACCCTGAAGGGATATGACGACGACGACGACGACGACGACGACGACGACGACGACGACGACGACGACGACGACGACGACGACGACGACGACGACATGTGTTTTGTTATTCTCTGGGGGGGCCTGGGCCCACACTATGTTGTCCGCCTTCCTACGCCATCCTTAGACCTACTTCGGCCGACTTGTGCGGCTGTCGTCGATCCCCTTCCTGGCCCCCCTGACCCCTTCCACCCCTCCACCCCGAGCTCCTGTTGCTGCTCCACCCTCTCCTCCTCCTCCTCATCCTCCTCCTCCTCGTCCTCCTCCTTCTTCCTTCCTCCTCCTCCTCCTCCTCATCATCATCATCAGCATCATCCTCATCATCATTTTCATCATCATCAACATCATCAGCATCAGCATCATCAACATCATCATCATCAGCATCATCAGCAGCATCATCATCACCACCATCATCATCATCATCATCATCATCATCATCATTATCATCATCATCATCACCATCATCATCATCATCATCATCAACATCATCATCATCATCATTATCATCATCATCATCATCATCATCATCATCATCATCATCATCATCATCTTCCTTCTCCTCCTTCCCATCCTTCTCTTCTTCTCCTCCTCCTCGTTCCCCTCCTCCTCATCTTCCTTCTCCTCCTCCTCCTCCTCATCCTCCTTCTCCTCCTTTTCCTCCTACCTCCTTTTCCTCGTTGGACTTCGGCACTTCCCTCGCGCTCGGAATCAGCCTCTGAGTGTGGCCCTGTGGGCGACCCCGTGCTCTGCGGAGTGACCTACAGACCTACCTTCTTTCTCCTCCTCCTCCTCCTCCTCCTCCTCCTCCTCTCTCCTCCTCCTCCTCCTCCACCCCTCCTCCACCCCTAGTTCCTGTTGCTGCTCCACCCTCTCCTGCTCCTTCTCCCCCTCCCGTGCCTCCCCCGCTTCTTTCTCCCCCAGCCGCGAGGACATCGGGGACCCTACCACGCAGGCGAAGTCCGACTGACCCCCTGAGAGCGCACTCTCAGATGGCCCCGCCTCGTACGGCTGGAGCTGAGCTGAGCTCGTCGCTTGCGCACCCTTTGATCCGTCGACAGGGCTTTTTTCCTCATCCTCGTCCTCTTCTTCGTCTCCTGCTTCCCCTCGTCATGATCCTCCTCTCCTCCTCCTCCTCCTCCTCCTCCTCCTCCTCCTCCTCGTGATCGTCCTCGCGAACGAGGGCCTCTCCAACGCCAGCGAAGAGTCGCTTCAGGAGCGGCGGTGGACTGCAGTCCCGTGCGCGAGGCCCGGGCACTGACGTCAGTGGGCCCCCGCGCGGATCGGGGGCGGCAGAGGGGGGAGGTGCTGCCACGGGGGGGGGGCGGATGCCATGGCGGGGGCCACGACGTCTCCCCCGATTCCGTGGCGCCTCGTCCTCTTGCACTGCATCCCCGCCCGCCCCCCCTCGGCTGCGCACGTGCCGCCGGCCGTGCTCTGCGCTCCCCCCCCTCCTTGGACGCAACCCCCTCTGGACCGCCCCCTGCAGGGCGGGGCGCGTGCCCGCCCGCAGGAGATATCCGGTGGCCCTCCGGCGGCAGCGGATTGGTCGGGGCGGCCCGTGCCTCGGCATCGCTCGGACGTGTGCATGCTGTCCCGGCGGGGACCATCGAGGACCATCCTCCTCCTCCTCCTCCTCCTCCTCCTCCTCCTCCTCCTCCTCCTCCTATCCGCGCAAAGCAAAGGACGTCCGCGGCGGCGTGGGCCATCGAGCAAAAAAAAAACACGCACGAAGCCGAACGCTGCACGGGACAGGGACGTCCGAGCGGTGGCACGGTGCGCGCCTCGCCGCGAGGGCTTCTGCGTGCACCATCGCGCGAGAGTTCTGGCCGGCCCTCTGGCGGCTACCTTCGGATGGACCTAGAATTGAGTCGGGCGGGTCCCTCTACAGGAGGAAAATTCAAAAGAAGTCAAACAATAGTCAGGGGGCGATGTTGTCCGCTCTTATGCATTGTTTTCGAGTTTTCTGATAGGAAACAACTTCCAAAATCCGCCTGTAGGAGGTGATGCCCGACCTAAGTCTAGGAGTGGACGATGGGACTCGGGTGGGGTGCATCTGTGCACCGTCCGGTGCCGCTCATGCTCACCGCTCGAGCGGGCGCCGCCAGCCCTTGCCCCACGGGTCTCGCGGAGCCGCAGAGGGGCGAGGTGCAAGTTTCCGCTGAGCGCAGGCTCCGTTGTCCTCCCCCCCCCCGCTTGTGACAGGAGAGTGGACATTGGCACAGACACAGACCATCGTCGCCTCCCAGGGAACGATGGGAAAATATGGGCAATGGGGGGGGGACTACGGAAATCCAGAAGACATGACAAGTATTGGGGATCCGGGAAATTATTCATGTTTGATTTGTTTGTGTCTCCTTGTGCCCCTTTATCGTGTCCCCACCCCTTTCTCGTGCTTCTCCCGGCGTCCGCTGCTTCCCTCTTCTTCTAATATAGTTACACGGTCGAGATTAAAGCGGCACTAAGTTTTTCGGAATTCCGGCCTTTGGGGGTCTTCGCGGGGCCCCACCCCTGTGCAAAGAACCATTCGATACGAGAAGCAGGTCCAAGAGGGGTGCGGTGTAGACCTCCAGGGGTATACGGTGTGACAGGAAAACCAGCCATGGAGAACTGGGCCCCTTCCCTCTCCTTCTGCACGCCCTCGGCGGCATGGCCACGGCAGCGGTGACTCTCTGACGCTCCTTGTCGGCAACCCGTTCGGGCGGCCAGTTCTCTGCAGGCCACCAGATGGGGCTGGCATGCTCCGGCCTGGTTGCGAATGCTCTCATTTGCTCTGCCTGACTGGAACTGCCGACCTGCACCGCGTGCACGGTGAGCGTAGGGTGCTGTCAGCGCTACAGGGCCTCAACGTGATACGTCGCGCGCAACAGACATTCCCTGACGATTGTACTACAAATGTCAACTTGCAGTTCGATCGAAAGTGACAGCTGCGTTTACACCTCGATCGGGCAAAGACATTTGCCAGCAACAACAGTACACAACACCTGCCTGCCCCGACTGCACACTGCTCACAGTACACGCGGGCATGTCTGGCAGACCTCCGATGCGTCCGCGACGTGTTCAAAATCTCGACGGTGGAGATCTGGGTCCTCCTCTTCCCTCTCCTTTTGCACCCCCCCGCGGCATGGCCACGGCAAGGGTGGCATCCACCGCTCTTTTTGTTTCTGATCCCCGCGCTTGGGAGGGCCAGGCTTCCCCTTTTGCATCCCTGTTCGGCACTGCCCATGGCAGGGATGGCCATAATTAGCCAACGCTGCCTTCGCCTAGGCCCCCCCGCTCGCGAGGGCCAGACTTCCCCGCCAGGCTCCGCCGGGCTCCCGTGGCGGGCACCGGCCGCGCCTGCTGCTCTCCGGCCTCCTCTGCTCTGGCATTGGGATCACGCCCACCCAGATTGGTCGACTGAGGAGATCTGCACGGGCCCACTCGACAGAGGCCTGCGAGTGCAGCGGTGCAGTCCCCGGTCGGTTTCGCTGATTCAGGCACATAAGCGATGTATCGGGTTGGCAGGATGGGGCCGGGCGACATGAGGATAGCATTACCCGTAGGCGTCCGAAGGTATCGTTCGTTGCGATTCCGCCCGGGTGCATTCGTGAAGTTCACCAGCAGCTTTCGCTGAATGGCGTTTTGCTAAAGGGAGTTCTCTCGATCTTCGATCTGCCCCTCCCCCTCTTCTCGTTCCACCCCTGGAGTCTGACAGTCGGAGTGCTACTATCTTGCTCTCGCGTCGCGACAAAGTCACGACGGACAGTTTTTGGCCGTGTTCGGCCCCGGCGGGCCCTCGCCAGGCCCCGCGACTGTTGCAGAACGACTCGGGATGACAAATTGGCCGTGGGGAGAAAGGATCGGGACTGCCCGGGACGCCGAATCAGGAGATCGCATGCGACAGTGTTGGTCGGGGGACGCCCCCTCCCGCATACTTCTCCCACGCAGGATTGGCGCCTGTGTGCTGTTTCGGACGGGCCGCTTCAGGTCCTGGAGATTGCTCTCCCGCCGTATCTTGGGCCGCAGTCCAGGATCGGCGCACAGGCCGCACTGCTGTTACTCCTCTCTCCTCTCTTCTTCTTTTTATTCTTCTTATTCTTATTCTTCCTTGCTGCTCCATCCGGCCTCCAGTGTTCCCTTTCCTGCGTCCCTCCTTTCCCTTTAAGATGGCTCTCGAGACTCCTAATAAGCCTTACGTGTGGAGTCGCTTTTTCCGCCGTCTGACCGAACTGTCAGACCGTCGGTTCTGCGTGCCCCTTACTTCTGTAGAGACTGCAGCGTCTGGGGGCGGACAGCGCGACACGTGCATCGTGGAGCGAGATGCCTTACTGGTTCAGTCGGGTGTTGGCTGTCCAGTACGCGAGATGCAGCCGCAATGCCCACCGTGGGCAACGACAGCCTTCATCCAGGATGCAGGTGCAGCCGCACCAGACCTGAGCCGATGCGTTCCTCGTCGTCGGCGTTCCCTCCCTTTCCCTCCCCCGCCTTCCTCTGGTCCTCCTGCTCCTTCCACAGACGCCATATCAAAGACGAAGCCGGCCTGCCAGCAGGTGCCGCGCAGAGCTTCAGAGCCTAGATAACTGGCCCCAGGGACGCGCAGAAGCCCCGAGGCACCTTGCGACCCTCAATGCTCGACGGAGAGCGTGGCCCCAGATTTTCTTACAGCACGATTCCTTATCGTATGTGTCCACGCTGCTCCTCCTCCTCCTCCTCCTCCTCCTCCTTACCCTCCTCACGAACGAGGGCATCTGCAACGCCAGCGAAGAGTCGCTTCATGAGCAGCGGTGGACTGAGTCTTGCTGCTCCTCCTCCTCCTCCTCCTCCTCCTCGCCCTCTCCTCCGTAGCCATGTCGACCCAAGCCCACCACTCCGTGTCTGGTGAGTTTGCTGCGTGCGCCTCCCTGAGCAGCGCCGGTTGTCTTGGAGGTGACCGACCAAAGAAGGGGGGGGATCGAATTAGCGATGTCCCCCCCCAGGAGGCTAAACCATGCCAAAACCTTCGAGTTTGAATCGATGAGGTTGGCCGTCTCGCCGAGGCCAACGAAGACGTTCTGACCTCGCGTAATGCCCCGTCCAGACCAAGGGGGAAGGGCAACCCCCTCCCCGAAGGGGAAGAGGGAAGATGGAAGATGAGACCCGCTGAGGCACTCACGCCCTGAAGGGCTAGTGGGATTCAAGCGGTCCTGGTGCTTTTTTAGGGGGGGGGGCCTCGGGAGGTCAAGGGGTGGGGTGGCGGCTTCCCCTGCCAAGGCCGCGTCACGGGGACCACAGAGCTTGGAGTACCATGTGGGACCTGCTCTAGAACGGGAACGTACCGTATGTAGACGGACCTACCCTCTCTCCGACCTTGCACCGCGCCGAACGCAACGGCCACGCTGTCCACAGACGTTTATCCACCCCGAGAGTGTCCAGAGACGTCACCGCACCCAGTGTTTCCATAGACGCTTTTGGCTAGGACGTGAGACTGGTAATTATGTGGCATCGACCTCAGACGTTGGTCGTCTAGATGCAGCGCTGTCGTGTGCAGGGGCAATGTGCCGTGGCAGTACGAATCGTTGCGCTATGCTGGCTGAGGCGTGGTAACACCTGATAGGACTGCGTTCCCGTGTTTAAAAGGGATGTTGGTCTTCTAGAAGCAGGTCGGCCTGGGCCTCCATTTTTTTCCGTCGGCAGCGAGGCGGGACAATCCGCCCCAGCGTGGCAGCGATGCAGGGGAACCACAAAAAGCGAATTGGCCAGCATGCAGGAGGAGGGACAACAAGAGGGGCAGGGCGGCCGCGGGGGCGGGAGGCGAGGACGGCGAGCTTCATCACTCGTGCCTCGCTCCTTCCGCCACCTGCTTGGCATGGGCTTCGAGCGCAGGGCAGGAATGGAGAGCAAGAAATCCGAGGCCCGAAAACCATCACTTCACTAATTTTGGGCCCCAGGGCCCACTGAGGCCCCAGGGGCCCCAGATTAGTGAAGTGATGTTTTGTCCCACGTAAGGACCCCGAAATTCATCACTTCACTAAACCGAGCCCTGGACGAAAGTCAGGGGCCGAATTGCTGCTGTGATGCCACATCGGTCTCGTAAGAGAAGACGCCGGGCCCGCGGGGAGCGAGCGGCGCGGAGGCCGCGCGCTGCCGCGGAGAGGCCGCGCGGCAGGGTGGCGAGCGGGCCGCGGCGGCGAGCGGCGACAGAGGGGCCTATAAGCCAAGGAGCCGCGCGCGGGCCCGGAGATCCGACGCTCCACGACAGCATCTCCCTCCCTCCCACAAACACATCTTCCCTCCACCTCTCCTCCCCCTCCTCCTCCTCCTCCCTCCCCTCCTCCTCCTCCTCCTCCTCCTCCTCCTCCTCCCTCCTCTCCTCTCTCTCTCTCCTCCTCCTCCGCCTCCTCCTCCTCCTCCTCCTCCCTCCTCCCTCCTCCTCCTCCTCCTCCTCCTCCTCCTCCTCTCCTCCTCCCCTCCCTCCTCCTCCTCCTCCCTCCTCCTCCTCCTCCTCCTCCTCCTCCTCCTCCTCCACCTTCTGCCGAGCATGTGCTCGCCACGCTCAGGAGCGTTGGCAGAATCTCAGCAACAGCGAGTGCAAGGGTCACAGGGACAATCAAAACGACGCGAAGATCGGGACAAAATCGGATCGGGATAACTCGAAATTTCTGAGAATCGGCGGGTTTGGAGGATGTATTGGGCGCCGCGGCCGCTCCAGAGCGTTCCGGAACGCTCTGAGAGCGCTCCGGAACGCTTTGGAGCGATTTATCCCGATCCTAGCCCTGTTTTAAGCGTTGGCAGAATCTCAGCAACAGCGAGTGCAAGGGTCGCAGGGACAATGCGCAGGGTCGCTTGAGTCGTCTCGTGGAAAGGGCCAGCACCCGACCACGGGTAGGCCCATGGGGTAATCTCTCCAGGGCCTCGCCAGGTCCCTTCTACGCGGTAGAGGTAGGACTCTGTAAGATGCGTGTCAATCCTCCTCCTCCTCCTCCTCCTCCTCCTCCTCCTCCTCCTCCTCCTCCTCCTCCTCCTCGGGAGCAGGCGTTTTGTGGCCGTTGTCTGCCTCTGGGGGCCCTCGCCATGCCTCGGGAGCGTCAAAGAGCGGCTCAGAACGAGACCACGGCCCTACAGGGAAGTGGTCTGGACCTTCGGGGCCAACGCGTCGACAAGAATTGGAGCAGCCGGATGTCTGGGGGTGGTCGGGGCTCTGCCAAGCTGCCCGCGGGCAGTGTCAGGCGCGAGGGTTTTTCGTTCGAGTTTGTGCCGCTAGAATCAAGTCGGGCATGTCGCTCTGCAGGAGGAAAGTACAAGGATTATCGGAACAATAGTCTGGTGGCGACTCTTCCTGCCCTTTGACTATTTGGGACCCCTTGTTGACTAGTTTCATCTGTCTTCCAAAACCCGCCTGTAGGAGAGCATGCCCGGTCTAACACTATAATCTGTCCCCCCTTCGTGACGCGATTAGCGGCATCGGCCCGAGGAGCCGACGACCCCATCAGGCATTCCACCATACCTATGCGGAGCTCAGGACCCTGGCCCAGACATGCGGCGTCATGTTTCTGTTCAGGACGGCGTCCCTGGAAGTCCAGACCCTTTCCGCGGGACCAGTTTATCGCCCTGTGAGCCGTTTTTGTTGACGGCCCCGAGGCCCGGCGAGGACCCCCATGGTGCCGAAAGTGGCCAGAACCTCCCGCCTTGCTCTCTTTGTGACGACGCGATCATGTCTGGGGCCAGTCCTCTGCGGAGCTCGGGACCCTGGTGCGAACAGATCGACGACGCATCTCAAACACACATGCTGCTGACACCGGCTGGCGACCTCGACTGCGAGCGGTTTCCAGCGGGCTGCTCAAAAACATATCGGGGGCCTCTGCCCCGCGAGGGGCGGGGGGTGGTGCACGGTGGTGGCGGCCGCAGGGGGCCACCGCGCGGTTTTTCACAGCGTCGGCCCCCTAGGAGGTTTGGACCCCTTCCCCAGGACCGGCTGCTCTCCTCCTGAGTCCTTCCTCGACGGCCCTGGCCCCCTGGAGGCCGAGCGCAGCGCCAAGCTTCCAGTCGTGATTTCTGCGCGGCGCGAGGGGGCCTGGGATCCCAGGACCCTGGCGTCGTGATCTTTTCGCAACGTCGACAGCCAGAGGTCTCGACCCCTTCCCAGGGACCTGTTCTTCATCCCGAGGCGTTTGGTTGACGGTCCCGAGGCCCGGCGAGGTGCCCCCCGAGGCCGCCACTGGCGAAAACCCGCCCGTCGTGATTTCTTCATGCCCCGAGCGGGTTGTGGGGGTTTGGGATCGGGGCAAGGCCGATGCGGTCCCAGACGTGATCGCGTCGTAAAAAAAGAAAATCAGGATGGGAGGTTTTGGCTATCTTCGGCCCTGGGGGGCCCTCGCCGGGCCTCGGCGCCGTCAACAAAAACGACTCACAGGGCGAAAAACTGGTCCTGGGGAAAGGGTCGCGGGACTTGGGACGCCGTCCTGAACAAAGACAGGACGCCGCATGTTTGGGCCAGGGTCCTAAGCTCCGCAGAGGAATGGTGGAATGCCTGATGGGGTCGTCGGCTCCTCGGGCCCATACCGCCAATGTTGCGGCACGAAGGGGGGACAGATTATACAGTCGGGGCCCTGAAGAAGGAACTTTTTTCGTTGGGGAGGGGCTCCGCGTTCCTTGAGTGTTTCACAGCTTGCCTCAGGTTTTGTTTTCCTTCTGTTTTCGATCGGAAATCGAAGTTTACCTTATGGAAAACAGGGGCCTCGTTCCTTATTTTGGGTTCCTTAGGTCAACGCCCCGACTGTATAGTGTTGGACCGGGCATGTCAGGCGGGCACGTCCTCCTGCAGGACGCCGCACAGGTCCGGGTCCGGGATCGGGGCGAGGCCGGTGCGGCGGCCGCCGCGCACCGGCCCTGCAGGGGCGGGCACCTCCCAGGCCCCGCGACGCCCGGAGTTTTGCAGGACGGCGTTGCGGGCAATACTTCTGTCCATATCCACTGCAGTATGGAGTTTCGGGCTCCCATCCCAAGAAACCCGAGGCGCACTGGATATGGCTAAATCTGCCCCCTAGAGGCTCGATTTTTATCCATACCCAGTGCGCCTCGGCCTTGTGGCGCCGCTTCAACAAAAAGTCCAAGAGGCACTGGCCAAGAGTCCACGACGGGAGGTTTTTCGCTATTTTCGGCCTCCGGGGGCCCTCTCCGGGCCTCGGGAGCGTCAAACAACGATTCAGGACGACGAACCGGTCCGGGGGAAGGGGTCCAGACCTCTATGGGAATCGACGCGTTGTGAAAAGAAATCACGACGTCGGGGGTCTGGGTCCCTGCCCCTGCCTCGGGGCCCGTTTTTTCGTCCCGGGAGTCTGGAGCCCTTCTCCTCGACTACACGTACAAGACGCAGACCCCCTCGAGTAATGCAAAAATCACGACGGGAGGTTTTTCCTAATTTTCGGCCTCCGGGGGCCCTCGCCGGGCCTCGGGAGCGTGAAAAAACGATTCAGGATGAAAAACCGGTCCAGGGGAATGGGTCGAGACCTCCAGGGGTC